TTGTTTCTCTCTATTTCTTTCTCCCTTTTCCCTTTCTCATTCTCTTTTTCTCATTGTCTCTCCTTTCTTTTCTCCCTTCTTCCTCTCTGTTCTCTCACTCTCACTCTCCCATTTCCCGCTCTCTCTTTCTCACCTGCTTCTTTCTGTCAGTCTTTCTCTCTCCTTTTTTCTTCTCATACTTTTGCTCTCTATTTCTCTTGCTTTGTTTTCTTCTCATTTCTCTCTATTTCTCTCTCCCTTTTCATTTTCTCTCTTTCTCCCTTTCTCATTGTTTCTCTCTCCTTTCTCTCTTCTCTCCTTTCTTTCTCTTTCTCTCCTCTCACTCTCCATCCCCCCACTTTCTCTCTCTCTCTCTCACTCTCTCTTTCTCTCGCCCACTTTCTCACCATATTCTCTCACTTTCCCTCTTTCTCTCTTTCTCTAGCTAACTCACCCACTCTCTCTCTAGCTCTCTCTCACTTTCCCTCTTCCTCTCGTTCTTGCTCACTCACCCACTCTCCTTCTTCAGTTTGCTCGCCCACTCTGTTTCTCCTCGTTCATTTGCATCATAATTTAGCATTATGTCAGATCTCAGCAGTGTGATGGAAATTTCTGATGGTTTGATTCATGCTGGAATTTCCCTGCCCACCAATTTGTGCTCTTTGGGTTTGTGGATTATGGACACACGCACACCTATCTGTATATGTGTATCTGTGCGTCTGCGTTGCAACCTGAGTGTGCACAAGAGCCCCAGTATGATTACAGGTCTCAGGTTGCGTTTTTTTCATCGTCTCTGTAAGTGTGTTTGACATGGCTGTGGGAAGAATCCAAACAGGCTTCTGGATGTGTGTGTGCGCAGCCATATGTGTGTGTTTCCACAGCCCACAACCCATTTCCATAGACTTCTTCCTGGTCTCCTGTCCAATCTGAACCGGCTAACCTTCACCCGCGCTTCACCTTGCCTGTGAATGTGCTTCATCACTCCAGCTGCTGTTGAGCGCCCACCACTCGCACACGCAAAGCACAAAACCCCAAAGTCTGACAGGCTTTGTTTGTGCAGGTGGTGCGAAAATTCAGCCCTTACGTTGTTGTACTGCTATGCGGTTTTGATCAAATTCAATATCGTGTTTTCCAGAAAGATCACAGTATCAGATGATGTAGAAATTTGCATGAATAAAGTTAACGAACCCTTGCTTTATGAGTACTTTTACTGAGATACAGAATAGCGTTGCTGTCAGAACAAAACCTCCTAACTTTTTACAGGAGAAATAAATAGCATTGTTCACTTTTAATGTAAATTGAGTAAGTTTGGACAGTTTCTATTGGTCCATTCATCATAAATATTCACACAGTATACAGGTCAGTTGAAAAAGTGGCATTGCTCTGATGCTTCAGCTGCCTAAAGAGAATGAAAAAGAATAAGAAGAGAAGAAAAGCAGGAACGGTTGGGGTGGAATTCCTGATAAAAATATTCAGTTCTGCCTTCTGCATAGGAATTACTCCAGAATGGTGCTTTGAGAAAGCTCGGGTGTTGTTCTACCCCGGGGTTTGGGAATGGTGCTGCATGTCTTTTTGATGAACCCAAAAGTACATGGATTTTTCTGCCATTAGAAAAGCAAAAGCTTATTGAAGTTCAGCGTAGGCAGTTTTTTTCTAGCATGTCGCTTCCAAATGAAACTTGGATTGTACTCCTTGATGTGTGTATGTATGTATATTTGTGTGTGAGTGTGTGTGTGTGTGTGTGTGTGTGTGTGTGTGTGTGTGTGTGGTGTTGCCCCTCTCTCTAACCACACACAGCCAGAACACTCCTACAGTCCCTGCCTTCCTCGCCCTCCTAAAAACGTCCAGAGAAGTTTGGGTGGCCAGCGTAAGCTTAGCTTTGTTTTTCTTGCTATTCACACGTTTTACGGCCCTTCAAGGCAGCCTTTTCAAAAAGCTCTCACCACAGTTTTGAGCCATTTCGCGTTTACTTTGCTTTGATTTGGAAATATGGATTTATTTTCCAAGCCGGCAGCTGCTTGGTGACAGCTGACGTGTGTTTTGCAGGAGGTGTGACATTTTAATGAGTCGGCCATTTTGGGCTCCGCTCCCAGACTGGCATCTCTCGGCTTCCTTCAAATAGTACGGAGAGCCGAGAGTGCTGCGCCATGTCTGAGAAGCCTCGCTCTGGATCTGGGTTATTCAATAGGCTGCTATGGTAAACCTCCACACTGTTTGTATGTTGTTGTGGTGGCGTTGGCCGGCTTTTTATTTATCTGTATAAGTATGTCTTGGCTTCTGTTTTGTTTTTGTTTTTTTCTTTTCTCCCATTCTGAACAGAGTGTGTCTCTTCCCAGTCTTCACAGGAGCCTTTGCTACAGGCACGGAGTGAGTCAATAGGCCTGATTACTAGGGATGCACAGTGATACTGGAATTATATCGGGACTGGCAGATAATTGGTTAAAAACGTTCAGTGTTGACTGATATTTCAAACCAACATTTGATGACGCATATATTGTCCTCCAGAAGATCATAAGGTTTAGATTATGTGGGATTATGATGCTATAATATCTACAGTTTATTCAATTTACTGCACTCATAAATGTGTTATATTTCTCTGTATTGCTAATCCAGGTAATCCCAATTTCTATGTTTTATAAGTGTTTATGTATCAGCCTCGGTATCAGCATCGGCAGATATATACCTAAAAAATATCGGATTTCGGCATTGGTCCAGAGTTTCCATATCAGAGCATCCCTGCTGATAAGGCTGAATCTTAAATATCAGTCTGAATTTTCTCCCTGCTCCCTATGTTGTGCACTGTGTAGGTCATGAAATAATGACTTCTACACCTAGGCAGCACATTACACGTCAATTAGCAAGCTGTTTGGGATTCAGACATTGGCTGTATGTCTCTTTATTGTTTTGGTGTAGAAGCCATAATTTAATTACTGATGCAGTGCACCGCACTACATGAACTCATTTCACAATAATAACATTGGCTAGAGTGGCTGATGTTATCACCAATGAGTCAAAATGGTCTGGATGGGTCTATCCTGGTCTTATTTATGAAATCTTTGCAATCATTATAACAAAAAATGATGTGATGCCATCTGTGCCAACATTCACCCAACCAGAGCTCCACCAAAGTTCATCACCAGGCGATGAAAAAGTCAGATTAGGGCTTGAAACACAGTGTTGAGGCTCCATAATGGACCACTGTGACGTGTTAACCTGACTCAAGTGGAATCAGTTTAACTTGAATCAAATGGGATTAAGCAGGTAAGAAGTCCATTGAAGTTTGCCGAAGCCCTCTCTCAAGTTCAGTTTACCTAAAGGCTTTCATCTAATGCCATTAGCCTGCATTGTCTTAAGCTTTCGGATGCTTTAGCGCTGACAGTAGGCTTTGACAGTCTAAGCCTTTTGAAAGCGAAGTCGCCGCTTCTATTGTGCTGCTCTGAGTCATGCTCTTTTTATATGCAATTGCCAGCTAACAGTGAGATTCTGTATTCTTTGAATGTTTCAGCCACAAAGTACATGTATTTAGTTAACAGAGAGGAGGTAGGCAGACTCACTTTCCTGAAACAAGTTCAGTCTGAATCAATGAGGTTGATGCATTAAAGTATGTTTAGGCCTTTTTGAATGTAAACGCATCAGATGTGCACAGCTATGGGCACTACATTCTGTCAGGTAAGTGTACGTGTGAGTACGTATGTGTGTTGACGCGCCGGGCGCGGTGTGTTTGGGTGTGTGTGTGTCCTGCACAGTCATGCTGCCCTCCATGGTGCTGCACAAGTCTACAGTACAGCCGTACCAGCGCGGCTTCTACTGCGCTGACGACAGCATCCGCTACGCCTATAAGAGAAGCACGGTGCCCTCGTCTGTGCTGATGGCCGTGGGCCTGCTCCTGCCCCTCACCAGCGTAAGTGCCCCAAACCGGGGCATCTGACTGGGGGCATGGGACCAGGAGAGCTGGGGGGAAAAGGCGTGGGAGGCTCAAGACTCTAAAAGAGTTAGGAGAGTACATAGCGAATATATCTAGAATTCATCTGCATATACAGGCCAAAGTTGTGGAAGCAACACTGACAAATAAGTTTGACTGCATAAATGATTTTTTTTTGTTTAATAAAAGTGTATATGACACTTCATATACATTGCTAAAGTTTCAAACTATACATCTGCCTCTCCAGTACAAATATGGAAAGTAAGCTGTATAATAATGCGGATGAAAACCTTGTATCTCCATTTTTCATTTTTTTACATAACTTAAAGAGCATTGGCTTTTACATTGTAAATTTCATGATGAATGGACCAAAACAAATGGTCCAGAATTACGTGGAAAAAAGTCTGGTTCCATTGACTTACATTAGAAGTGAAGCATGTTTTTTCCTTCTCCTGTAAAGTTGTCATGTTGAAGATATGTCACAAAAGACATATATCTGCCTATTCAGCCTACAGCAGTTTAGCCCAGCCCATCCATGTTGATGTTATAAGAAGTGTTTCAGCCTGGACTGCTTTTTTAACAAGGCTCAGTGCAGTGCAGTCCATCAGAACAGAGGTAATAATACAGGTACAATAACTAAATTCACTCTGAAGTCTTTCCTGTATAACTTGTTATGAAACATTAAAGAAATCACTGATTGCTTCCAACCTTTTGGCCTGCAGGGTAGATCATAATAGAAAAGATTGCTGAATTGGGTCCAAATTATAAGACTCTTAGTATAGAAATCATGTATCGACTCTGAACTTACTGGAAGAAATCAGGTCCAGAGAGGGTTTAGTGCAGTGCAGTGTAGTGTATAGTCACTCTTTTAGAGTCCAGTCTCCCACGCCAGGAGCTCCCCACCTCCCCGGTGTATCCCATGATCCTTGGCTGCTGTGTGCTGTGCTGTGCCGTGCCAACCTGCCCCTGCGCGTGTGTCTTTCTGTTTGTCTCTGTGACTGACCTGAAGCCTCTCTCTCTCTCTCTCTTTCTCTCTCTCTCTCTCTCTGTGTCTGTCTTTCTCTGTCCTCTCTCTCTCTCTCTATCTCTCTCGCTATAGCCGGCCTGCCTTTCCTGTTAATTGAAACTAGCATGATCGAGCCATACCGTCGCGGGTTTTACTGCAGTGACCAGTCCATCCAGTACCCATGTAAAAACGGAGACACCATAAGCGATGCCGTGCTCTGTCTTGCTGGCATTCTTATTGCCATCTTCTCTGTAAGTCCTTCTCTTATATATATATATATCTGTCAAATATATCATCCTTAACCTCCCTCCATACACATTTTCATTCCCAAAATAAACCATAAATAAGAGTTTAAATAAAAATATAAAATGCAGAAAAGTAGAATTTCATATAGATCATTTAGAAATACATCCATAAACCATTCATGTCCATCTTTCAAAGAGAACCGGAAGAGATGAAAGTTCATCATGGTCAGGAGTCAGTGGTGCTTTTGGGCTTCTTGTTCTGTCTGCATGTGATCTTTCCATCGCTCTCTGACTTTTGCTGTTGTTTTGACTTGTGTTTGGTTTGTGTTGCAGTAGAATTTATTGTGAGTGACAAAATTAATGCCTCAAAAGATAATTCAGTGGTTTTCCAGAGCGGAGTCAATGAAACTTCAGCTTGAAGAGATGAAACAGTTTTCCGTTCACTCCAAATGCAGTCGAACAGCCAAGACATATTTATAGTCCAAGGTTCGCTTCTTTAGCTTTGCGACAGAGCTACAAGACTAATGGGCACTTATAACCGCCAATTTGCATTTTGCAGCTGCATAGCAAAATCATGAAATCTATAAACACGGACAAAAGTACATGGTACAGTTAAAAGAATTGTAGTAGCCATCCTAAAGCCTGAGTCGTATCTGTACTTTTGTCCATTTTACAAAATTTCATTTTGAGGTTTGCGATAATTTAGGCATGCAGGGTGGCTATAAACCTCTATTACTTGATAGCTATAATAGCCTCATTGCCCCAGTGTAAAATTAAGGCAGCAAACTTAGGTCTTATATAAATCAGTTGCATATTGACTTAAAGATGATTTCCCCTGATTTTAGTATTTCTTTTAAATTTCTGTATAAATCAACTATTGAGATGTAAAAACAATACATACAGAGTGTTTTATATGAAATGGTGTATTATAGATGTATGTACCTTTTTACCTTGGCTTTCTTTAAAGTAGTAGTGATAGGATCCAGGGGTTAAATGTCTTCAGTGCAAATATAGCCCTATTATTTACTATCTAAAATGACCAGCGAACTTGCACTTGTCTTCTGAATTATGGTAAAATAGTGGTAAATAAAAAAAAGAACATTTTCTTCAGAGACTATTTTGCCTTATAATGCTGTGCATCTACCTGTCTGACGTAAATAGTTAAAAAAAATATATTATTTATGCTAAAACTTCATCTCAAAACCTTTGTGAAACGATATCTGAGACATTAGGCAGTGTATTCATTACCATTTCATATAATAACTTTCCATTGAGGGAGCTATAAGAGGCATTAAAAGCTGTGGTTCCAACAATTCTAGAACGGCACATTTCACATCAAACTCTGAAGGATTTCTTAACTTATATAATTCTGCAGAAATTTTGAAAATTTGGTGGAATTCCCCTTTTAAATCATTGGATATTTCAAGCAATGGTTTGAGCCTCGGAATAAAATGCATTGCTCAATTTGATGTGCAGCAATTCAGACTAGCTGTAGCCTAAACACAATGAGGTTAACATTCGTTTATCTACCACTTCTATCAAAAGTCTTGTGATAGTGTAAGCATCACAAGTGGAGGGCGGCTGGCAGGTCAGACTCTGCTGATAAACATAGACCTGCAGCTGCTGGCCGCTGACTGCTCTCTATTAGAACACACAGGACTTTAATAGCGTCAGTGACAGCCGGCAGCAGCTTCCTGAAATACAGCAAAATGCACGCCAGCACATTTCTGGCAAAGACTTAGGAAACAAAAGTAGTCGGACAGGACACAGACTTTCAGGGACACTTTGGAGCGTGTGAGGAAGTCGTGTGTGAGAGAAAGAAAAGAGGAAAGAAGCCAAAATAATAGAATGCTAAAATAAAGATGGGCTCCCACGAAAAACTGTGGCACAGCTCTGATGTCAGAGCTCTCGTGTGTATTGGAAAATGAATCACATCAGTGCCAGGAACAGTACTTGGCATCGCACCTAACCAGAGACATGCCTACCTAGTGTTTAAAGAAGAAAATGCTCCAAAAGCGGGGATTAAAATGTGTGTGTGTGTGTGTGTTGCACTACACACACAGCTGTACATAATTAGTAGTGTCTCCAGTCCCAGTTTGGTTAAGGCCTCTGGGAGAGCATGTCTTCACTGCCACCACAACAGCTTTCCACTAGAGTGTGAAAAAGGCTCAATAACAGAGAGAGAGAAAGTACAGTTAATCTCATAGTGATGGTTAATCATATTGTAGTTTTAAATGGTTCAGTGTGTTTGCACAGCGGAATCGTCAGTGTTGAATTAACTCTTGCAGTGTCCATTAATGTCCAGCTGCATTTAAAGGAATAGTTCAGCAAAAAAATCCAATTTACACAATTAACCACTTACCCCAGATGTAGTTGATCAGACAAGACGTCCAGATTTTGCTTGGTTAGTTTCAAACTGGGGCTTCGAGGCTACCGTTGCTAACAAACACTAGAAGTCAATAGTCACCCAAATATTTTCCATAAATACACCCCTAAAACTTTTCTCAAACCTCACACAAAGTTGTGCAGATGTGATTTAAGACACAGTATGATTTACTGTGAACAGTATAAATGCAACTTGTCTTCCCCATATAGCTATAGTTTCCTTCACTTACAATATCATTATATCATTATAAAATCATAACGCTTTTATAACATGGTGACAAAATACAGTATGAATTATAAAATATAAAAGAATAAAAGACAGCATTACAGCAATGTTTGGAACATAATGTCATTTGTTACAATAAACAGACGATTGCTAAGTAATATAGTTCATCAACAATTACTGTTGTAACAGTCAGCGATTATTCCATGAATAATGGTTGTTAATAACGTGCTGCATTAATACTTAGTTAATGTGCATCATCATGTTTTATATTGAATATTTTACAGTAGCTTCAGTTGTGGCTCAGCCAATCAGATTTCAGACCCAGACCTATCCATTTTATATTGAACATTGAATGTGTTACAAGGCTCATGGTGTTAATTAGCCCTGGGGAGTGTGTGTGTGTTAATATGTGGGTGTGTGCTCTTCCTTAGGCCCCCCGTACACTTATTCATTCAGCCACACACATCCTCAAACTCATAAAGCACAGCTGTTCACTTTTATTAGAAGTTATTTATATATATATATATATATTCCATTCCATATAAATGCCATCACTAAATGTCACCATTGACTGGAGAGGCAGGCCATGCTCGTTCTCATAAACCTGATCTCCTGTTCCGTTCACTCATACCACTCACTCTTCCTCTCTCCCCCCCTCCTGTTTCGGTGTCATAAGTGTGCTTTCCCAACTAATTTCATCTGCATGTAGATCTCACACTCATCCTGCATGTCTGAGACCTGACCATTATGAATTTTTGTATTGTTTTTACATGTTAACACATACTGGTTGCATTTTTTTGCCGTGTTCTGAGACAGTCTAACCTGGTTCTGTGTTTTCAGTGTACGCCACGATTCAAAAGTATGGAATCATCATATGCAATCATTTTGGTTATTTTACATACAATAATAGCTCATACCATGTAGTAGAGGTGGGTGATGTGGCAAAAAGTATATCACGATACATCAGGAAATTTCCACAATATTTGATATGTTAGGATATTTATTTGTTCAGACATCTAATCAGCTGGAACAGAGAAAAAAAAGTCAGTACTGCTACATTTTAAGAAATACTATTATTGTGTTGCAATAAGCAGAACTAATTTTGTTCTCTATATCACGATCAATGCAGTTGGACAGTGTTATACATTCTGACGAGATGCATGATATGTATTGAAAAGCATACTGTATTGTATTGTAACATAATTTATCATAAAAAATATATTGACATATTGCCCAGCCCCAAGTTGTAGATTTAAATATTATTAACTAGACACTTAAAAATATTTTAAAAGTTGTATTCAGTAGTTCCACATACAGTTAATGATTAATGCTGAAAATATGCTGTAATCATCTATTTATAGCAATTTAGAAAAATATAAGTTTAAGAATAGCATATGAATAATATAATAATCAGGTCATCAGCCTTGAGATTAATTTTGTATGTATGAGACATTCTGGATATTTTCTCATAACTTCTTTCTTTTGATTGATGTTGCATATTGATACGTTTATCTGCCGCTAAACTGATTTTTATATTATGGAAAACGTTGATTCCAAACTTTTGATCAGTGATTCCAGACTTGTAAACTGTAGTGCGTGTCTGATGTTCCTCCTGTGCTCCACACCTCCAGATTGTGATCGGTGAGTGCTATAGGATCCATTACCTGAAGCAGGGCACCCAATCCTTCGTGGGGAACCCCTATGTCTCCGCCCTCTACAGACAGGTGGGCGTGTTCATCTTCGGCTGTGCGGTCAGTCAGTCCTTCACGGACATTGCTAAGGTGTCGGTGGGCCGCATGAGGCCACACTTTCTGGACGTGTGCAAGCCGGACTACTCCAGGATCAACTGCTCTCTGGGCTACATCACCGAATACGTCTGCCTGGGTGACCCGAGCAAAGTGCAGGAGGCCAGGTGAGGCACCCACATGCCTGTTAGCTCACTCATGTATACTCTTATCATCATGCACAGACTCTTCTGCACACGTACGCTCGGTAACCCTTAGAGGTCTACAGTAATCACTGTTGTTTTACTATACTGCCCAAATGTAATGACTTAAGTTCATAATTAAGTATGTAGTTATGTAATGAATTACATTTAAGTTCAATTAATATTGTGTACAAAGAGGTTCTAGTCTGCACTTTATTCCATTTGCTGTATCAAGTAATGATACAAATCTTTTCTTTTTCACTCACAAAGCCGCACACCCACCCTGTCATAGAATGTGCTACGTTTTATTGTGGTTTAATATTGCTGTAAAGCAGTAAAAGACACATAATAGCCCTCAATAGCCTGTAATTTTGGGATTACATATTGAATTTCTGTCCTTTCAGGAAATCCTTCTTTTCTGGACATGCCTCATTTTCAATGTTCACCATGCTGTACCTAGCGGTAAGTACCTGTTACTGCAAATACACACACACACACACACACACACACACACACACACACACACACACAGCTTCTCTCCTGTTGCACAGCTGATACTGTGAAGTGTATTCAGTATGTTTTTTATTTCTTTTCGGCTGTGCAACCCTTCTGGCTACTCAGTGTGAAATGTGATTCACTCTCATCTCCTGGCTGGACACAGACCAGCTGTTTTTTATTTATGCAGCTGCCTAGACTTCCTCTACTTCTCTATCCTTCTCCCCATTCTCTCTTTTCTCTCCCTTTTACTCTCTCCCTCTCTCTCTCTCTCTCTTTCTCTCTCTCTCTCTCTCTCTCTCTCTTTTTGATTATTTCCTCCTCACTCCACCAACCCCATCTCTCTCTGCCACCTGTTGGGAGGCCATGTCGAGGCTGTTCTCTTTGCTTAAGGGTCTCTCGCTTCAAACGTCCATTAATTAGACGTCCTGCCAGTCCAAAACCTACTTCACACACATGAGCACACACTCATACACGCAAGCACACGCATTCATGCACACTACCTTAGGGCTTTTTCTGTTCCCACACTGTAGAGCAAACCTATTTGCCCACATCAAAGATTTTTCAGTTGGTCTCACCTCAAGTTTCCCCTCTTTCTCTATTTCCCTTTCTTTTTACTCACGCACTTTCTTATGAATGCCAAACCACCATCTCTTTAGTCATAGCCAGTATGGTAGCACTAAATGGACATTTTAATACCACATCGCTGCTGTCGGAACAAAACCTTTTATCTCCAAAAATGGTAACTTTACAAACAATGTAAAGGGCAGCAGGAATTTTCAAATCAGGCCAAAAAACTGAAAAATGTAAAAAATTGAGATACGAGGTTTTGTTCCAACAGAGTGATATACTGGTTATATTAATCTCAGATAATTGCCACATATGCACTGAAAAAGTGATGCATCATACCTGCTTGAAATGTGTATCGTTTACACATATAATAAAATGTGCACTGCTTTTTCAGCGTGTCTTGTTTCACGCTAGTATCTGCCATATGCTAGATTTAAACAGCAAATATGAATTAGTGGTCTCTAATCTGAGCAGGAAATAAACACAAAAATTATTTAATGCACAAACATTTTTAACACCCATAGTGCTGAAATCAATATTGCCCCTGCTTAAACTATGATATCATCACGCAGACCATATATTGTTCCACTGTAGTAGCTATAGAGAGCACTGAGGTTGAGGGGTACTAGCTGAGGGTCCGGTGTGGTAATAGATGCGGCCAGCTGTGCATTCCCAGTGTTTGGAGGGATTAAGTAGGAGTGTGAGAGAGGGCAGAGTGGGGTAGGAGCGCTGCCAACACAGTGTGAGACCCAGGTTCGTGTGTGTGTGCATGTGGCCGCAGAGGGCCAATAGGGGGTAAGCTGTTTTAACTCAGCCTGTGTTCCCCTTAATACACTCCGAACAGCCATTAAATTAATGTGCGACTTTGACAGCTTTGCTAGCCTTGAAGCGCCAGCTGGGTCTCTGGCTGCGCCTTGTGCAGACGAGAGGAAACAGGGTGTGGAGAAGCAGAAGTCACGATAGAGCTGCGGAGCATTTAACGACAAAAGCGATGGGCTTTTCTATATACACCTACTCCACTTTAACCACTGTGATTTAACACATACGAAACACAAAGCGCTGTCACTACCACTATTTACTGTCCAAGAAAACACATGAAGAACATCTCACTGCTTCCGAAGCTTTCCTTAATGTTTACTGTCAGGTGTTAACTAATGTGGTAAAGCTTCTCATTCTGGGTTTCTGAGTCAAGAAATAGTGATACAGAATGCCTGATACACTCATGCAGTGGTTCCCTAATGCAGGAGTTCCCCTGCCTACCACACACCTGATCCAACTAATCAGCTCATTAACTCCACCTAAACTGCAAGCTTAACATTATTTGCATTACGCCTTATATCTCGGTAACTTCTGTTATTATACAATAACTACTATCAAACTAATATGCACGTTTTGCAGTTGTAAGAGTGAGGAGTTTGGAGTAGTGTTGGCTTATAGAAAGACCCTTGCAGTTTGAGGTGCTGAGACAATTCAAGGACCTAAAGATGACCCCCATATGGAGTAAGTTATTGAGAGAGAGAGAGAGAATGAAAGGAAGAAAGAAAGAAGTAAAGAGAGAAAGAAGTACAGACTTAAAGAGAGGAAGAAGGAATGAAAGAAAAGAAGGGTGAAAGAAAGAAGAAAAGGAAGAAAAAAAAGAATGAAAGACAAGAAGAACAGCAATGACATAAATAGGAATGGGGTTATAAATATTCTTGGCTCTTATGCTGAGTTCAACACCAAGAGCTCTATATTTTTCTCTCCCCTCTCTTTCTTCCTCCTCTCCTCCTGTCATTATCTGCGTACGCTACCGTGGGAGAGACAGTGATGTCATGATGAGGGTAGACTCCAGCTCTCGCTGTCACTCTTTCCCTTCTGTTTACTTTAGCCTCAACTCAGCCGCAATGCAGACAGACGTCTGACAGACCCCCATCAACTAATGTCTGCCAGCATTAAACGAGAAATTTCCATTCATTTATAGATGGTATACTTTCTTTACTTTGCAAGACGTTCCGTCAATCCCAGAGTCACTTACCGGCATGTTTTTATGTCTACACTGATTGTATTTGTATCAGAGATAGAATGGAGGAAGATTAAAGGGTAGCGTGAATGGAGGAGATTAGAGTGTATTGAAGTCAGTGAACAGTAAATGCAAAGCTTCTGTTTAGACATCGGGGTTTCCCCTTAACTTACTTTGTGTTGTTTTTGAATTTGATCCATTGGTTTGAGTTGTACCGCATTACATCTTGCTCTCAATTACTGTTGATGGTTGGTGTGATTGCATTTCAGCCTGTTGTGTATGTAGTGAGATCACTGGAGAGAGAGCTGGACAATTGCATGTGATTGAGACCCTCATTATAGTATATTGTGTTAGATTTCATCAGTATTCCATTACAGTTAATCCATAAACAGTCTTGCATGGTAGTGAGAGAGTGTTATTGAGTAGCAGGCAGCATAATCTCATGTAAACAACTCCTCGCTAGGAATAATTCTGTGAAAAGTCGAATGTACAAAATTGTTTAACCCTCATCCCGAATGTTGATAAGCCTAATGTCGATAACAAGTAGTGGAAGCTTCCCTCTTAAAGTAGACACATCAAAAATGCACATCTGTGTGTCCAGGTAAGGACAACCTAGAGGTCATTTGTGCTATTTTTAGCACTATCTGTAACATGTCTATTGTTTCCATTTGTAATATGACACAGAATGTGTTCAAATAATTTTAACCCTGATGTTGTCACAGCCATCAGTGGCTGGAAATCCCACTAAACGTAACTGGCCTCACGCTGTCTGGGTGGGCAGGATTGCCCCCTCTTTCTTCTAATCAGTCAGCATGATGCCAGGCTATACAGGAGTCTGTGAGCTGATGTAGCATTAGTGTTCCCCTCCAAGCGTGTTCAGCTGCCCAATGCTGTTATGTTTGTGGCAGTTTGAAAAAAGCAGTGGTGCTTCATGTATCTGTGAGGGAGCACATGCCAGCCTTTACCTTTCCAGCTTGGTAGCATCTTGTGATAGAAGTAGGCCTAGCTAGTGTGTGGGAATAGCTTCATAGCTCCAGTGCAGAACTTAGAACCAAGCATATCTTGGCCGATCGAGTATTCCTCCAACAGAGTGGTCATGCAAGTTCCCATACTGCTGCTTCTTTCCTGTGTACGGCCAGCTTAGCTCGTTGGTGACACATCCCATTGCACTTTACTGGGAACGTTAACCATAGGCTAAGTGACATTAAATAGCATGCTGATTGATGGCTGACTCGGGGCAGTAGATGTGTGTGTGCTGGCGTGACTGTGTCTGTGGGGTTTTTAGTGGGTTTGGGATTTGGGTATTTTCTAGCCTCTCTCTAACCTCCAGCCTCTCAGCCCATGTGTTCTGGTTTGGCCTGAGGCGTGAGGAGGCGTCACCACTGCGCCCAAACCACACGGCGACACACGAGCACGGCAACCGGCCAGCAGTTAGACGGCTGAGAGAGGAAATGACAGGGCACCGGAGAGGAGAGCTGAACAAAGGTTTTAGAGAAGGTCTGAGTGATGAATCCACGCTGGAATGATGTCTGAGGTAGTTGGTGACAGTGGTTGATTTTACTTGGAGAACTCACAATGTTGTGGACTACGCTCATCATTTCCAGTGTTGCGGTCACGCTGAAAGAAAGCCCAGTTCACTGTGTTGGCTTCTTTATGCCTGACCTAAGGTCAGGGTGTGGAAAGCCCCAGGGGAAAAGCCAGAACTGGCGAGAAAAGCTTCATTTTGGAGCAGCAGACCGACTCTGCAAGTAGAGACTGATGCTCAACACAACAATACTGCACAACACCATGAAAACAAACAGTCTGGTCAAACCACTGCAACGAAAACACGCACACTCCCTCCCTCTTCTCTCGCTCGCTCTTTCTTTCTCTCCCTCTCTCTCTGCGGTGAAGAGGATGTGGTCAGTTTTTTTACGCTGTCTATCAAAAGCCTGAGGAGAGCTAGCTTTTCAAACTGTTTTTAACGTTTTCTTCGGTTTGGTTTCTTCTCTTCTGCTGGCTTTTATTTGCCTTCATCAGTGTGAAGCACTTTGAGCTGCATTTAAATGCATGAAAGGTGCTGTTTAAAAAAGGTCAATTATTGTTATTGTTATTATTATCATTAATAACTGAGCATATTTTCTTTGTCGATTTGCACAAACTTTACAATTACATTAGGAAACTGCTTAGATATTGTCATTGTCACAAACTACAAAACTGAAGAAACATCTAATAAAAGTACCAGCTTGGGAAAAAATCCATACGTTCTACCCTCTTGTTGTGACATTGGCTCTCGTCAGCCGCCTTTGGGCCAAAAGAGTTTCAATATTTGCTTTTAACAAACCGTCAAATCATTATTTAGGCAAAAACTGCTCTTCATACCAAGAAAGACACTTCAATGTACATGAAGCTGAGTGTT